TTTTTTACACCTCTTTATTTTTACGGATTCACTGGGAAATAGTGAAAATAGATTGCGTAAAATATAATTTTAAAAACTGGTCTTCCATAGAGCTACGTCAATTTCTGAACAGTCATAGAGCGTTTCGCCCTCTGCCATGAGCCCAACAAATTACCACGATCAACTAAAATTCATCAGGGTTACATATATTTTCAACAAAACCTAGATATATTTATTATATTACAGTAGAAACGTTGACAGACTGCAAATTGTTATCGATAGTTAATGTGTGCACAGGTAAGGAGCCATACAATTACATGATGGTAATGATCATAGCTTCACGATAGTCTCACACCTATCCGTAGAAGCGGCATACTACAAACCCAATTTATGACATAATATAGTTAAACTTATGGGCTTTCAATGATCTCTGCCAGTGAACAAAACCTGGGGTTCTTCCATTAAACCTGAGATTCTACTAAAGCTTCAACTATTCCGAGTCATTGGAGTTACAGAGGTAATTACTCCAGGTTAGCCGAGTTTGTCAATCTGTGAGAGATAAGGAAAGCCCAGAAAGGATTAACGCACGTTTCATGCCACTTAATGAGATGTCGCTTAATGATTTATAGTTACACCTAAGCCGTTCAAGCAGGTGATCTGTGATTGCCCCCTGTTACCAGAGGTAGCTCCGTAGAATCACACAGTCAGAAAATCAGGTTGCTTCTGAAATTTTCAAAGAAAACAATGTAAAAAGTAATAGTAATGATAACGATAATGACAATTCACTAGAGTTGGCACTGATGCGTTATCAGGCTTTGGTTGTCCTAACAGCTGTTATCTAGGGTCCGAAAATCGCCTCTATGGGAAAGTATAACCCGGTTAGCAGATTGGTATTGATCGCCTTCTTGCCAATCAGATATTGTAATAGCGCACCCGACTCTCGTAAAACTCTCATGCCGTTTTTTTTTATTGCTAAAAGGTGTTTAGCTTAGCTTATAGCTTGATCTTCACGATTTTATTCTTATGGGTTTTTATTAGGGTTTTACGACCGAAAATCTGCACATCACTACGGACGCTACCTGTAGCCTTATTACTATTGGCCGCTTATTTACTTCCGACGTACGTCATTTCGGTAATTACTATCTCTATACATTACACATTCACCGTGCTTTAATTAGGTGCACCTAAGCACCCCTAAGAGTCCTTTGAAATCGTTAAAAATCGTTGGCGCAGTGACTCCGGCAGTCGACTGGTGTGACAAAATTTACACGGCTGGTTCAAAAGCCGTACATTTCTACCTTTTTCAAAAGAACTTGTTTATTTAAATCGGAAAAAAACACTCGTGTTAATATAACATGGCAGAGCAAAATGCAAATAAAACACCATTTGTCAGAATTTGTATTTGATTTACTTTTTAACAACAACTCAGCAATGAAACTCTTACACAATAATAGTTGAAACATATTAAAACATTTACTACACGCAACCTAATCTAGTTTGTCGCATCGTCAACCTGGCCTGATTGTTTAGGACTTGTTACTGCTATCTGTAGTAAATTTATAATAATGAAAATACGAAGAACAGTCCGAGTAGGTTTACAGATAGATAAAAATGCTTAAGAGGCTGAAAAAGATGGCCGTCATATTTAGGCCATACTACAAGCTGCTCGTCCGTGAAAAGTCTCAAGAGGAGGGGCAGCGATAGGGGGCCAAGTGCCACCTATAGGCAAATATGATCAAATCGACAAGAATGCCACGCATGTTAAAAACTGAAGTAAATTCGTACTATGGACTCGAGATTAAAGGCTTTGTGTCGCTGATCACTGTTGAAAATATGTTTTTCTTTTGCTGCTGTGAACGTTCTATTCTCATACTTTTAGGTATAAGGGATTATGTCGGGTAAAGGATGAGACTATTTACTGTTTAGCGCATGTTTATCGTGTCTACATTTTTTTTAAGAATCTGGACTCCTTTGAGTCAGGCTGGTGTCGCTACACGGTCGCCGAGAGCATGAACTATAAATAAAGCATATTATAAAGTAAACTTAACTTACTTACTAAGATTAAGCAAATTTTAGCGCTTCCATTATGCTCTAGTAATGAAGTGTTGCTTTGATAAGCTTAGACACACAATGGTAATGAGGTGGTATGTGTTCGATGAGGTGGTATGTGGCGTGAGCGCACTTCACTTTTGCTGGAGCAATCCCTGAAGGCGTTGCAAATGTGAAACTCGAAACATTCAATTAGTTACCTAGATTCATAGTCATAATAACTAGCTATTATGTAAAATAGGGCATGTTCTAAACATTAGTGAGCTAATGGTGGTTTTCACACAGGTCTCGCCCTCGTCAGTTAGTCTTCTTTGATTTTTGCTCCCTTTCGTTTTTTTAAAATTCCTAACTTTTTGAAATTTTCAATCAGGTCCAATGGATTTATCTTGTATCCGACAGAACTTCGACAAGTGTATACAAACCAATGCCTCATTACTCATGGTAATCATTAAAAGGTTTTTTGCGCAAACTTGGACGAGTAAATTCAAAAAATGTCTTGTAAGTGGTTTGCGGCCCTAGTTGAAGCCGGTGATTAAACTGGGTTCCTTACCAACACGTATTGACAATTTTATCCAAGTATTTAGAGCCAGCTTCGGAACGGTAACATCAATTTCGTTACAAATTATCCCTAACAGCCCGGAAAATGTCACAAGTGAACGTAAGACCGCTGTGCTACTCATACTGATAGCTAATACTAGCCAGCATGTGTCAGTTGTATGTAAATTTTTGACTTGGCCTGTACACTAGAAAAAGGATGAATTTTGCAGGTCTGTTAGGGGGTCCACATAGAGTGCCAGTGCTATTTCACAGAGGTACGTTTTGATCAACCGAGTTGAATGCCGTCGTTGCCAACTCCTGAAGCAGGCGCCAAATGACGGGAAGATACATTGTCCTGTGACAACAGTACGTGTTAGGCCCTTTTGGATTACCCATAAACCAGCGAATATAGCTCTCTGACAGGTGAAACTATCCCGACAACTAGTGCACTTGCTTAACGGAAACAACACCCTTCCCTTTACAGCCGATAGTCGAATTCTGCCCTTTAATTTTATCACAATGCCTTTTTATAACCACCAATATGTGGATTATAATATTTTTCTCATAAGGCTAAATGCGAATGTCCAGATTTTTTTTTTTCTGAAAATGGTTCTTGTAATTATACTTATCCGATTTTAAACAGATCTGAGCAGAAGCAGATCCGCGTCTACCGCGGTTATATGTTCGGATCGCGCTCTATTTAACGATTTTCATCTTTAACAGGCCTTTTGCTTTGTTAATAGTAACCGCGCATAAAGTGATATCGGTAGCTGTTGATTATTTGAACTGTTGCTTACATACACGAAACTAGAAAAAGCCCGCCTTAAATTTTGAGCCAAGGTTCAAAAGCACAGAACGGCCAGAAAGCCCAAACGGTGCAAAGCGGAGAAGACTAAGCATCGGGGCTTACCTGCTATTGCTACTAATCACTATTACACTCTTCGAGTCGGCCGTGAGAATCTCTACAAAGCATCTCTCCGTATGTCAAAAATGGCTTTTTCAACTATTTTGAGCCCTTTGAAATTTCGAAGAATCTTTGAGCCCTTTAAATCTAAACTACGGATATTATTAAGCTTATCTTATGGAGATCTTTTTTGATATTTGAGAAAACCGCATGAAAAATGACAGTAATGAGGGTCATCAATCTCAGATGAAGCAGAAGCTTTTGGGTTTGGTGGAGGGTTTGTCAGATGTGAAGACAATGCACAGTAGTCTGTCTTTGCCCGAATCACGCACTATTTTTAGTAAGAGGTAAATGTATTTCAGCTTTTACAGGGTGACCAAAAAAAAGTACGTCCAAATTAGAATGCTTTACTCCGTAAACTGTCCAAAAGCAGAAACACATCTCTTCGGAAAAACTGAAATTTCGAAACACAAAATACACTAAGTCTACCTTCTATCGACGCATATCCATGCGGCCCTCGATCATTTTCAAAAAACCTTACAATAATGTAAGGTTTCGTAGTTTTCCTATCTAGGAAATTTATTGCTTTATTATTAAGCATTGTTTCAATTATTATGCAATAGCGATTTACTGCATTACATATTGCTTCAACAAAAATTTCTATTACTATTTTGCTGCAGTGGTAAATGGATGGTATTTTTTAGCCTTAGATCGTACCTTGTGTAGATAAGTTGTCGAGAACCGAGTAACTTTTGCGCTTCTGGAAACCACTCAGCATCGAACTGTCCATCAAACGATCTCCTTGACATCGATTTCATATTGTATCCGTAGATGATAAATATCTACATAGATAATAGGAGCTATCGTTGACTCTCTCGTTGAGATGGCCTTGACAAGAGCGATTCGCGCGGAGCTACGCTCAGATATGTGACGATCGATGAAGTGCCTGCTTATGGTAGCCTCTCAGCCGGCATTTCCTGGAACCGACGTCATCATTGTGCCGCAATGGAATAGAGCCGATCCGAGGGGCTGTAGGCGATCGGAAATCTCGGAGGGTTTTGCCCGAAGTGCACTTGGCATGCACGCGTCTCTTCTAGCCTTAAGCTCTGCCCAGTAGTGTTGCTCCTGATGTTTTGACTGATGAAATATAGTCATCTGTAGACTTCTACGACGATGAGATGACGCTATTTTTACGATAGCGTATCCGTGGGTCCGAGTGTATATATATGTGTGTGTGTGTGTGTGTGTGTGTGTGTGTGTGTGTGTGTGTGTGTGTGTGTGTGTGTGTGTGTGTGTGTGTGTGTGTGTGTGTGTGTGTGTGTGTGTGTGTGTGTGTGTGTTTGTGTGTGTGTGTGCGCGTGTGTGCGTGCGTGTATAAGTAATAGATTTACTCCTACAGAAAGCGTGCCGGCAAGGGAAATATAACGTTCTCAGCCGGTCTTTTGCGGTGGTTTAGATAAAGTGGCGGGAACGGTTTTTCCTTCGAACCTGCTAACGTCCCTCATCGTGGCATATATAAATATAGGTCACGACAACGTGGCCGAAATCATGCGTAACGGAGTCGTTTCAAGTGTGCGTGAATCGGTATTACTTTTTCATGTAAAGTTGATGGATGATGCCGACCTGATAAATGATACTCATAGATAATATACTGTAGAATACGGCATTATTCTATAAACGAATTCATGAATCAGTGTGCGATGAATAATTTATTTTTAACTTTATAACTTCCGGGTGAGAAGCAAAATCGTGTTGCGATGGTACGGCCATTGAGGTACGAAGCCGGAGACAAAGGTGTCACGAAAGGTGTGAAACTGTGCCAACTAATTTACTGGGTTCATCTCGAAGATTATCTCGACAGAACTTCAAAATGGCGCGTTCATATTCTGGGCGGATTGTCGTTTCGGCTATAATTGATCATCTTCTATTGATCAGTATCGTAGCTCCTTTGGTCTCCGTCTATTGGTGTGGGATGTTCTTCCTCGTTGATCACTACGTATTCCCTAAGGATTATGTGACCAGTATCTGGTTTACCTGTCTATTCGGTAAGAGGGATCTACTAAATGTGTGCATAATCTGATAATATGCTTAAGTCACACGGAAAAGAGTGTTTTTACCAATATCTTATATTTTTATATATCATAGGACAGATTCAATTTACAATTGATTTGGCTGCGTCGAATTTGTGTTTCGGCTTAATTTGACCTTGCACACATGTACAAACTGACGTATGTTCGAAAACGGGTGTAGTGGCTTAAAACTGAGAACACTGACTCATGTACAAGGGGTTGTAGTGTGCATAACCGTAGTATCTGGCAGCTTTCTTTATTATATTAAGCATTTTACCGAAATTGAGCTGACTATAGATATTCCGGTTTGGTAGCGAATACATATGTTTGAATGACTCGTATGGCAATTCAAAAGCCTCCGGAAGGTGCGTGAACGAACCAGAACCTTTGGCTAGGGATCGCTTTGCATTATAGAATCGTGTGACGATCTTTTATCAGTGTTAAAATTTTCGTTTTTGCCCTTTAGCTTCTTATCAGTATCGTAATGATCAAGTCATACAATGCAGAGCATAGTTCCTGCTCTACAATTTGTAAATTATATTGCCTAATGATGCCTACGTTCAAAGACGCGAAGATGTAGGACAGTCCTTGGGAGAGACAGATGTTCCAACAAAAGCCTTAGCGATTGTCTCCATTAAAAAATGGACTCGGTAAAATTTTGACTCAGTAAGCTTCTCGATTCTGGAACTATTAGAAACGACTTATAAGACCGGATTTAAAATATCGTCTGCTTTTGCTTCATACTTCGGCGCTGGAAAAAAGTTTATCGTATCCTCACAAACGGCTTAGCATAACCTCTAGCTAATGCGAAAGATTCCCGGGAGAATTTTGGCGAGCTTCTTACACAAGACCCCTATTAGTCTCAAAACGTTTCAAGGACAACGATCCTCGTCGCGTCATAGGAAACTTCACGAACTCTATATATAAAGTCATTTATATAACTAAAGTTTACTTTAAGCAGGCATATTCAGTTTCGAAGTGTCAGCAGACAACAGCACCTCTCCCGCTACAAGGCGCTGGCTAAGCGACGACAAAGATTCGAAGTTCGAACATTTTCAATGGTTAGTCGAGCGTGCTACCTCGTTAGATCAGAGCGATAACGGAAAACTTTTTTTTTTTTATTTTTATTTGCAATCATCAGCTTCTCACTGTTGAGGTAACCCTTTCCCTCATAATTTCTTACGGTTAACTGCAATCGACTTCTAATGTTGTGTGAATCAATTTTTGACGGAGACTATCTGCCAGCGTTTATGTATACGCACTACCTTTACAAGCCTTAATAACAGTGATGTCTTTATCAGTGGATGACCATTAGGTGAGTCCGGGATTTTCATTTGCTAATGGCGTATACATGTCATAAATCATAGCTTAGTAAAAGGGGCCTGTTTCGTCCGAAAGCTGTTCCAGAGATCTCTTAAGCGATGGCATGTCCTTGTAATAACGAGTTGCTGCAACTATCAACATGACATACGTTGTCTGGATAAAGCAGGATATGCCTGTTTTGCAGACCGCATCTTCCCATAGTTTTGACAGCCTGCACGCAGCCAGCTGAATCAGCCCTAAAAGGGCGTGTCGATCGCAATTAGAACATGATTAAGAACTGTTGTTAAATGAAACAAACGAACACGCGGCGTATTCAAGCTACACGTTTCTGATCTTAAACGAAAGGGGTAATCGCCATTTTTTGAATCAAGCTTTTTTTGGGACAGAAAAAAAATATTTTTATGTTGTCTCGTACAGCTTTGTACAAGGTTCAGGGTACGATCACAGATTTCTGAAGAAAAGCACTAGCTTTGCTAGTCTGTGAGATTGTAGGCGTTTGTTAGATGGTTATTAGATGTCCATGGAAGTGAAAATTCAAAAACAAAATCCCATACATTTTATATAGATGCAAAGCGTTTAATAGAACAGTGTCGGCGGCAAAGATGTCAGCGTGATAACACTTACTCGTTATTATAGAGGCCGGCAACTACATTCGTTCGTAGGAGTTTCGTTCTAAACCTATACAGATTCCTCGAAATGTTTTAGAGCCAGTGTTTAGAAGTCAGGTCCCTGCCGTTGTAGGAACTGATAGATTAACTAGCTTGTAAATAACTACTGAATGGACGAAATTAAATTTCACGAGCCAGAAAGAAGCTAAGTAAGTTTTCCCTTATATAATTTTAAATTGCTGATGCTATTGCAGTTCCGGTATCGTATTGAGTTTTGGCCAAATTTTACACGTGTTTGGAAGTTCTGGAAATTATTTAAAGAGAAAAACTAAGTAGTTAAAGGTGTTGTACGAACGACAGACTGTGATCTCAGGGGTCGAGAAGTAAATGCGAGGCTAATATTTGATATTTCAGACAGATCTAGCAGAACTCTACCGGGACGCCCGTAACACCGTCTTCGAATGTTTTCCTCTTTAACGAAATAGGCCAGAGCTTAGCTTGTCGTCAACCTCTATCTATAGATTAGATAAAAATAAAGTGTCGTTCATAAGAGGTGTGTCACAACGTGTGATATTGATAAAGTGCAGATAGTATATAAGCCTGAGTTCGTTTGTGTGACACTCCTCTCAAGGAGAACTCACGTCGAGTTCCTTAGATTTTTTTAACCATTTAGACTAGGTCCGGGTTTTTCGTCCGACTGGAATGGGACGTGCCTGTTTTTAACAAACCAATGCCTTCGAAAAAGTGATCAATCGAATTAGCCGCATTGCTCGTCATCGTAAATGAAGCTTTTCAATTTCCTTTTTGTTCTATAAAAAAAAATCTTTTATATACATTCAAGGCTCTCCACTGAGCATGCAGAAGTTTACGCGTGCATACACATACTAAGGCGTTCTATTTTACAGGATTCAGTGCTGTATTCGTTTGCCATGTGGTCCACGAGCGACTAACACGATTGGCGCAATTAACGGACGCCCTATATAATCCGCTGGCTCGTTTCTATTCAATAATCCTCATAATCGTAATAGTTTTTCAATGGCGCGGTTAGTACAAATTTGGGTTATTATATTGCACTTAAATTAACACACTATCTAGATTTGCGCATTCTACCCATGTTATGAATCATTTTTACTTCATCTGTCCTTTTCTACTTTCAGGATTTTGGTATATTCTGGACCATTACCTAGGTCCTGGTTATATCTCGGGCTGCGCGTGCATTGCGGCAGGTAGGAATACTTTCTCGTAACTTATAGCATTATGTCTTAACTTGTTCGTAACTAGCCAACTTAGCTACTTAATTGCGCGGCTTAATTAACTAGATAGGCTAGCTAGTTAATTGCGCAACTAATCAAGGTGCTAAGAAAACTTACCTATTTATGGGTTGCTTATGGGTTTTTGTTGATAAACTAAATAGCGTTATCCGGATTGGACATTATTAAAGGTTTCTTTTTAGTGGCCACCAGCGGCTGCAGCAAAAGTATCACCGGAGTGGTTCCGTTCATCTTCATAGCTGACGACAAAACCAACTACTTTATCGCTCTGTCCAAATTTTCGCACTTGGTACGTGTTGAATCCTCTCTTTATAGTACCATTAATATGAAAATTCGACAAAAGATCGAAGACGTTAATGACCTCGTCAAATATTAACCCCCTTTTCTAACTTAGACATACAGAGTGGTCTTTATTTTCATCTACATTTTATTTTAGCATGTTTTAATGAAATACATGTCTAGATTCTGCAACGATCCTCATTGGTCCTCAATTAAGTACTAATTTTACTATATACTATGCTGCATACGTGCATGACGTACCATGGAAGCAGCGTTTAAGCAAGTCAATATATACTAACACACTCTAACACACATAACGACTTTGAGAGCCTGTTATAAAAAGTGTTTCTTTCGTAATTTTGACGCAGTCCTCCCGCAGTTCCGTGCTACATCTTGTTGATCATTTATATTCCGTTTTCTACATTCAACCCAGTGTTATCATCGTCTGGCGAGGAGTTTGGCACCTTCAGGTAGCAACACGAAAATAACAGTATTCTATAATAGGTAAACAGATAGTAGAATATCTAATTGAAAAACAAAATATGGTTCTGCTTGAAGGCATCATGTCCGAGTTGGGTCCGAATAATGCTAATAACGCGCCGTAGGTTTTTCAAATTAGAGACGAAGGTTCTATATCATATTCCCTGAGCATGAATAATAGAGAAATATTATGGTCGCTAAGGGTTCGCTCATTCGTCCTCCCTTTCGTTCCTACACGAGTTGCAGGATTATGTGATCTACCCAAAAGACTTCCTGTTATCTGGAACCGTAACATTAGGAGTCGGTGTCGTAGGCGCTTTCCTGTGTTATATCATTCAGTGGCCACTGAACTCATACGTAAAGTAAGTCGAAAAAGGCGGCGAAATCGTACGATTGGTACTTCTACTGCTGGAAATTGAGACAAGAATACGCAGCAAATATTTCGGCAGCAAAAGTACTTAACGCCCAAAACATTGTTTATAAGTGTTTGTTTTTTTTTTGGTAGACGATTCGTTCAATCGTATTGATTGATGTCCGTTTCCCAGAAGAGGTCGCTGCATCTAATGCAATGTAAACTTTTTACGAAAACCTTAACAACACCATATATGTCACTTCCGTTCTGTGGCTAAGCGTTACTTAAGTAAACGTATTCGATGGTGGCAGAAGTCATTACTTATACCTGTTATAGGAGACTTCCAAAAATATCCCGATTTGTCGTGGAGCAACTATGGCGTATAATCGTAGCAACAGTAGCAATCTGCTACTGGCGAGGTTCGTGGCAATTTTGGGCTCTCGCGTTTAAAGGAGACCTTTTCACGATGTGGTTTGTAACGGTAACGTCCGCGTTCCTGCTATGTACATTCAACTGCTGGAGCATAGCTACCCTTCGAGGTTAGTCCATGGTATCGCGCACGCTTGGGTATCACGCCAGTTCTTTGCTTAATGTTGAAATCCTTTCATCGCGTATATCGAGCACTTTGGTAGCAGGAACTGAAAAAAAAAAAAAAATGGCAAATAACTATGGATTATTTGTCTGCAAGCATACACAATCATTCGCGCCGTTCCGGCTTAACCACCTAGTCAACTACAGTCACAAAACTTATATTTTGATAACATTTTTGATACGTTTTCAAGCCAACAGATATGTGCCTATGAAAAATGAATTATGTTGATGAGGCTAATCGCTTCTATGTCATTTAATTTTTTGGTTAGGTGTCTGGGTAGACGACCCACTAGACTCACAAGAGGATTCGATACTCCTAGATGTCCACTACTGCACTGAGATCGTCTCAACAATTGAGAAAGAGCAAATGCGCAAGATTCGAACGATGGAGAATGAGACGTACCCAATGTCGGCCTTGGATAAAAGCAGTGCTAATGGCGATACGTCGTCTTTGTTTTTAAATCACGTTAGCACCGCTCAAAAGTTCGATTACTTCAGGGGTAGCGATGAACGGCAAGAACAAGAGCCGTTTGCATTGGGGTTAGATACGCACAACGTGATGGTAACACTAGGTAGGGAATTCTCGTTTAACAGCTGGGGCGAATCTCCGGAAAGTGTTATTTGATGGGATTGTACATGTGCTTTCGCCGGAAGGGGGTGGTCAGGGAAAACTGGCTGTATTTATACTTCTACCAAAGGACGCGATTCGTGGGGAAGGCTTCTGCGACGCTCAATAATCGAAAAGTTTTCCTATATACCTGACGAACGTGCTGTGGCACAAATAAAAAAAAAAGTACAGGTTCGTTTAGCGTCTAAAAGAATCGGTAGAATTATATATTGTTAATGTTTGCCCGTGTAAATAAGTTAATAAAAAATGCGGGTCGTTGCTGTTTGCCGTATCATATTATCGCCGAATTCTTTTTTTATCTACAGTTCAGGTCATTGTTCATTATTTTACCTAAGAATTGTGGTAGTTCCTTGAAGTTTGCAATGGGTTACAGCGCCATAGATACGGAACTAGTTTTTCAGGTAATATCATATCAGATCACAGAGATACCGCGAATGACCGATACGGTACATTTCGTAGGCTTGTACCATTGTGTATCTAGTTAAGCGCTTGTAAAAAACAACCCAAAATTTTTGAACTAGAAGCATGATAAATTACTTAAAAATTGTCTTTTTTTCCGCTACGGAGATTAGTCGATCTCGAAAAATGAGAATTTATTTTATGGATTATGAAATGTTATCTTTATCCCAATGTAATTCGAAGTAGCTATCAGAGATGTCAGTATTTTAGCAGACTGTGTAATTGGCAGCTGTATTTAATCGCTCCTAAGATGGGTCTAGCCGACAACATTCAAAAGACCATCGTCGTTACAGGAAATCGTCAGCCTCAGTACGCGGTACGGCCCAGCACGGTTTATTTTCCGTAATCTGCTAATGCTTGTTTTTTTTGACGGCTGTCCACGTTAATGAGGTCAGGGTCTTCTACGAGTTCCGGACTTGTATAGGCTGGCAACGCTCAACCGAACAAAGCTTGTGCGCTACGGATGGCTGTTTAAAATAGAGCAACAAGAGTAACCTCGTCCGAGAAACGCCGTTCACGTTCGACAACCTGCAACGTTAGAACGTTCATGCTACTTCTTATACAAGTTCGAAGACAATTTATAATATAGGATGCGCATCTGTCGACACTTTGAGTCGACATTTATACCTATGATACCTACGTCAAAAGAAAGAGATGTGATTGGCATCGTAGCATACGATAAATGTTTTCCGGATTCAACCTGAAAAACATCTACGCTCGTACGAAAGCTTCAGCCGCGACAAGTAGATTCATGGATACGCTTTAAAAAAATGTGTACGTAAGTTATACGATTAAACGTGAGTCGATATATCGATCAGCAGACAGACTTTGATGATAATACAATCATGAGATTTAAATAACTCAACTTATAGGTGCTTAAGTCCCAACGTGTACACTTTGGAACGTGGTGCAATGAGAAAAAAACGTTGGACTGGGTCAGCCTTGGAGAAAATCTGACTATTACTTGCTCGCGTCTCGCCAAACGGTTCTACACTAATAGATGTTTGGTATTTGGATGTTACGATTGTTTAAAACGGCCATCGATTGCATATTATTTATGTCTCTTAAGTTAGCCATATTCGTTGACTCAATTCAAGATACCCTTATGGCGAAAAATGTACGAAGCAAGGGTCTCAACAAACCCAATTTAACTGATTCACAATAGTTTGATCCGGTTCATTACGCCGCAGAAACTAGTTATTTTCAAGGCTGTTACAACCGTTAAATTTACGAAGCGATTCGTGGTTCAATAACACGGGCTGTGTATCCGAATTTTGCCCATCTATATAATGGGAAAGTTCACCCACGCATAGGCGATGGCGTACGTGGCCTGGGACGAAAAGTAAGAACCGAACACTTATATATGTGAATTAATTCCAGGCATCCCCCCTGAAGCAGAATTTGTTTCCGTGAAAATAGTTGTCGACCATTACGTCATTCGGCAAGTCCTATTTTACTGTTGTAAGCCCAAACTTTCGCTTGCCTCTTCCTCGTGGACATTATACAGTAGAAAGTCGGAGTGAGCCATACACATATAAAGCTACCAATACTAATTACGTACCTATTGTCCCCTAAAAATGACCGACCAATCGTTAAAAAGGTCTTGCTTCTCAGATTCAATTAGTAGAGAAGCGCGGTCCATTAAATGACAAAATATATCTATTTTTATATAATATATATCTGAAATCAGCTCATGTAAGACAAGCAACCATTGTAAACGGTGTGATTGATCATGTAGTAACATGTTTAATATTAGCGTACAAGCTACATACGATGCGCTCGTCGAAGGATTATGCTTCATGTAAGGTGGGTCGATTTAAAAAACGCAACTGCTTCCCCCATTTTTTGTGCTTCGCTCGAAAGGGGTCAGATTCGCTACCTCAAGTTGTGCCAACGACACAAATGCTACACAATCTGTGTGTATAAAAATGTTACTTTATTTTTTTTAGATCGTTCACATAAGGAAGGTCAGCTGTTTAGAATTTCTCGAGCCTAGTAGCATTTTTTAGACTTTTTACGTGTTTTGCATTTGCGATCAACCAAAAATTTGCTCCCACTAGACTGTGTTGTTAGGTGACCTGCTATGTAATTTTTGAATTTACACTTACCAGCATCGTTTAGTGCGCGATTATTACTGAAAGGTCACTTGGGAATGAAGACAGATATACTCAGAAATTACTAGGCCTTTTAGGCTTTTACTCAGGTTACTAGGTAAACGGAAGCATGGCCATCGCATATGAGCACCGTTGATTTCTTACTGATTGACAACTATAGTGACGCGTCTATGAAAGCAACGAGATGACCTTAAAAGGTAAATCTATTATTTATAGACACAGTGAGCGCACTTCTATGAAAATAACCCTGCTGTACGTAAAGGGATCTATGGGCAACTAGTATAGTTTGTTCCATATAACCTCAGCAGAGCGTTGCCTTATACACTAATTTCCATATAATAAAATTATATAACATATAGTAAAATTATTTCGTCATCGAATTTTAATACAGGCACAGCGGCACACAACTATATTACTAAAAACCAGCTCTATTTCGTTTCCAAAAACGAAACATCTGACCCCCTACGGTTATCGATTGTGCTCTACAAATTTGCTCTACAGATCTGCTCTGCCTATGCCGATGTAGAAAAAACCGTATAGCTTTTAATATGATGAACATTGGAAATTTGGTTTTATAGTACTTTTTTACCGTCAGTAAAGCAATTAAAGGCTCCGTAGTCCGAAGCAGAGCGTTATTCGAATTTTTACGTTGTTAATGAAGAAGTAGCTGGCACGCAAGATGACTGCACGCACGCAGCGGCATTATGCGTCTCTTATGCGTCATTATGCGAGTCTTCGTAGTAACAATATCTGACTTTGGTAAAGATGCGTGTACGTAAAAAAAGAGGTTCGAAAGCTTGAGAACAGAAATCATAATACAAAATTCACAGAAAATAGAAATTCGTAATGCAGCATATCATGATTAGTAAATGAACACAAAAGCTTTTGTATTTAATTCAATTTTTATTTAATATACGAGCGATACGTAGACACACCAGCTTAATATTTCCTGGCCGTTCTTCACGCTGCCAACATGATACAATTCTCAATACAATTCTCACTGTTGTTAGAAATCATGCTTGGAAAACAGGTTTCGTAGTGCACAGAGAAACACTATTCCTTCCCTTAACATTGTTGCAAAGGGAGAACTGTTAAAACCTGTATCGGTAGGTATCGTAACAGCTCCTCCACGAAGGGCTCCGGGCTGAAAGCTCGTGCTCACGAACCCAACGAAGGTTGTACCGGGGGGAATATCGTCATTGTATGAGGACGCTGGAACTGGCTGGGTTTCCAAGTAAGGTGCCGGAGCCGGATAAAGTGCCGGAGCCTGATAAGGTGCTGGAGCCTGATAAGGTGCCGAAGCCTGATAAGGTGCCGGAGCCTGACAAGGTGCTGGAGCCTGACAAGGTGCCGGAGCCTGACAAGGTGCCGGAGCCTGACAAGGTGCCGGAGCCTGATAAGGTGTTTGATAGGGCGCCGGAGCTTGGTAAGGCGCCGGAGTTTGACAGGATACCGGAGTTTGACAGGATACTGGAGCCTGATAGAAAACGGGGGCTTGATATAATCCTTGGATCTGTTGCGGTTTTAAGTCCTGATACGCGCTCGAAGCATGATTCGATGAGGTTCTTTGACGACAACATCCTGATTCATCTATATAACACATCCTTAATTAATAATCTTCCGCGGCGATTAAATCGATGTCGTAAGCTAGTCACGCTTGGAACCCTTGGTCTCAAAAGGAATTTTGCCTATTTGTACACGAATACCTGACGGAGGCTTCTCGACCGCACTATTACCCGCTTCGTCGCCGCGAAATGTTTAACGAACAAATCGTGCTTTTAACTACATACATTACACTATGCGATAATAATATGTTATTTGAGCCTTATTTGTGGCCCTGGAAAAACCAGCTGCGGGTTGTTACAACCGGATAAAACAGTGTTTTAGGCTCATATTCATAGGCCACTTGGGGAAAAAGCTAAAAAAGATCTGGTAAAATAGTAAAACGACGGATTATCAATTTGATGTGAAGAACGACGCGATTGGCGCGTGGCGTGTTCATTCAACACATGGAAATATTCGATCTTCGACCTCCCGTCAATGGGGTTATTGCCGGATGCTGGAAGAGTTTACGCAGTCTAGGCGTATATAGAATCGGAGAGTCTTCCATGTGCGATTATTAAGAAAAAATCCGTTGGCTCATTCAGTGGTATTCGATACTTAAAGCAGCATGTGAGAAATGTTCAGATCCGCGTTCGTTTTGACGGCAGATTTATAGGAACCCGTCAGCACTTCCGTGGAAAACAGAATAGAATACAACAGATCAGTTTATTAGAGTCTGTGCCTCGTAATAGAAAATCTTATCATAAGCCTTCTACTTGGGGTAACGCCGCCCTCGAAGGCCAAGTCAGTACAGCTACATAAATTGTAGAATTTATGTACAAATACGAAATGGAACTGAATTGGACATTTTCATCACTGGATGACTATTGAACTAACAAAACAAGTAGAAAAAACGTATTCGAAAAAAAAGCTAAAATTGTCCCGAGAGCCAAAGCTGCTTTTAAAAAAAAAAACATAGAATTTCTCCCGCAAGTCCCAGTTGGTTTGCGCAGAGTTCCACAGATCATTGAAGTTAGTTGTGGGTGTTAAACCAGGTCCTGGTATCATACCGCATTATATTTAAGGCATTTCAAAATAACCTTGGCCTATCTATAAAAGACGAACCTATCCAACTCGATAAAATGCTGGGGGAAAGAACGCCTTACGACCCAACCATAAAGATTCACTGCGAAGTATTAAAACTTAGGCCTAGGAGTACCGTAGAGTTTGCCCCCACATATTGCGCGAGGTTATGTGGGCGCAACATCATTCAGCTTGCTCTTACTGCACCCTTCGTTGGCGCGCGTAATACGCGAGTTCGCGAGGTACAATCTGAGCGTTTCCTCAATGACATTTTAAACTAGCGATTGTCATGGCCTCGAGGAAAACTTCAGAACATACATAGGATACTTGAGTAAGAAAGCTTTATTGTAGATTAACCAAAAACGTTTTGATATAAGTATGCTTGAAGTCGTGCCGTTCGTCGCTAGTAGGGACCCCCCGCCGGACCATTGTGAATTGGGGTTCGCTATAGAAGCCGAAAAAGAACAAAAGTAAACCGTTCAGATTTGGTTGATCCGGATGGACCGCACGTTTCAGCTCAAAAAGTAGGAAACGCAATTATCGTTGCAACTGATTGATTCAAAAGAAAATCAAAGGACCCTTATCAATGTTCAGCCACTTCATATATACACCAAGATGTCTCCCGAGCTTGATAGCTGTTCTGACTGACATTGGTATCTAATTTCAGTTGATGGATCGATGACTGATGTGTCAGGTAGCAAAATGTCGCGAATATATTCGAGGATGAATTAATAAACTTAAATTTATTAATAATAATTAATAATAAAGTTTATTTAAACTAAAATTAATAAATAAATACCTGATCAATAAATAACCCGTCCTCAGGTGTAATTATCTAACAATGTATTTTGATGTATCTATTACTGACAACACCGCAGGTTTTTCTGACGGAACCAAATATTTAGGCACATTTATTAGGCATCGTAGAAACCCAAAAATCCGCAATTTAGCTTTTGCGAAGGCAGAAGTTCGAAGGTACATTTCCCTGAGGTACCGCAATATACAACTCGGTAGACTTCACACAGCTCAGGTAGAACTTTCGCTTATTATTAGTAAATCTCTGTTGTATGTACCGCACGGTTGCGAAGCTCACCTGACATCATTGTTGACCCAGTTACTCGCAAAAAGCAACTCGCTAATAACCGATCGATCTAAGCTGCTCTTCGCTAAAAACAATTCAATATTACTATGTTGCCTCCGTCCATCATTGCAGACAGTCACTCTTATTCATGCACATTTCATCGGGCAATTTTACGCAATCCATCGAGTTCATTGATCAGTATTAAACGCAGTCCCACCTCGTTCACTATTTAATAATAGCTTGGCCCAGATCTGGGGTATTGCGGCAATGCGCTGGGGCGATGCGCGCTTATCAACTCGGGCGTGCTGCCACAGCATGTCCCAGAAGTATTCACACCTGCAATATGCCCAATTAGACACATCGCTTGAATAATCGTACTCGTTAGAAAAGGCAGTGCCTTTAACCTGTCTGGAAATGCACTAAACAGATTCCATTCGCCACCTCCACGAAACGTCTGATTAGGTGTGGGTCTAGTGCCTGTTACGAAGGCAACACAGCACGCTGTCCTTGCAGGAGAACTATTACCAACGATCAATGGCCCGGCCGAATACGGCTGACCTGCTATGTAGCTTGGCGGAGGTCTCTCTTCCGGGTGGTAGGAAGTTCTGTATGGTACCTGTTGATATGCTGATACTCTGGGGTCCTCCCCATTGTTTGTTTGGTACATAAGCCTCTTTGATACGGATTCGAAACCAGGAACGTCCGAACGCCGACGGGACGGTAAGTATCGTCGATATAAAAGATCGCTGCGGTGAATTTTGAGTGACACAGTTCTATCACTACGCCCCAGTCTTTATGACGCCAATGCTGTTAGAGCAGCAGTGATAGCTCGTGTCGATTTGGCTCCCAACTTTCGTTGTCGCCGACTGCTGAAGCGTTGACGTTGGCTGCGTTCTTAAACCGCGTAACCATAGAAAAAATGTCTAAATGCAGAGAGCGAAAAGTTAGTCTTGAGAGCAACAAAGGTGAATTGAAACAGGTGCTAACTTGAACAAGAGAGCCGCCGATAGATTGTTCAGCGTAAGTCAGATTTGCCCCCGTTAGCCCAACCGAAATTAGTTTAAGAATTCTATTCACTTGCATAATTATTAAGCACTGTTGTCACGTCTGACAGATATTTTTTTTTCAATTCCACTTATTTACTTGCAATGGTCCAGATCTCGACTGATTAAGGAATTAGTAAAGAAAACTTTACACGGTTACTCATCTCTTATCAACGATCATTAGTCCGTCCTGTCTCATAGAAATCTGTTTTTCCTAAACAATGAGTACATGTGCTACACTGAAAGCTAAGTAGCAAAGATTTCACTATAGACTTCTATGAATTTTACTTATAATAGACTTCTATGAACCTTACTTTAGGAGAGGCTCAAAAATCGTCCGTGAATAAGCAGTGCGTCCCGCCAATAACAAGCGTCAGCTCTTTAGATGCGCTGGCTAAAAAGAAATGTACGTAACAAACGCGTGGTCGTATTTCCACGAAACGAATTTGTGACATATAATATACACGGATCGCTTGGAACCATGGTATGGCGGGACCAGAGAACTATTCCATGATTAGAAATTTATGCATCCGTATAAAGCGCAGAAAAAATCATGGAGGATGCTCCTCTATTGTACATCGAATGTTAACTTCGTTAATTTACACATTGTGTGTTTTATTAACAAACACTCCCTCCCTCGCCCCGCCCGCCCACCAATAAACACTTATTTCAAACAAGAATAATAACTGTCAGCTGTCACCGAAGTTTTATTTGACCAAGACTCAGGCCGACAGTCGGCACGATATCATGTTGGCTTTCCTACAGATATTCGTACGGCAAGTAACCGTGGCTACACGAACCGGTACTCGAACGATGCGCGGGCAAAAACGTTCTGCTCGTAAACGAATCAAGCAGGTAAATGAACGCTGCTGACATAATTAGTTGACCAATGGCAAACGGAAGCAACATCCATTTATTGCACAGAAAATTTTGAAAGGGTTCTCCACCACGGAGTGGTGTCGGGGCGCATCCAGGGCATGACAAGTCCCCACCAAAATTATCACGGAATGTAGGCTCAATCCTATAAGGCCTCACGATGTGGCTGGGTGGCTGAACTTGATACGGCGACATTAATAGAGGCGTTTGTCGGCCAGCGTAATACATGTTTATGTCGAATATGGTTCACTTGCGTGAAGGGATGCTGTGTGAGGTAGCTCACGATACCTCAAGACAGCGGCCGTCACGGGAACTGGTACCGTTTTACGGAAAAAAAACACAAATGTAGTTCGAGTCTTAATTTGGCGACTATAGTTTGTGTCTCGATACGATCTAGTTACGTGGTTTCGTTATTTTAAATGTCAAATTAGAATTGGCTATGTTTTTGTTGCATAGATGTACCGGTTGCAGTTTGTAAATATCTCTGTATTCGGCGTGTGTATTTTGTTTTTTTTTTTTCGTAGAGAAATTAATGTAACGAGTAGCACAAGTGATCAGTGCACTCGCAAATTAGGAAATCAGCTGAAATGGATATTTTTTCCGAAAGGGAAGATAATCATTAGAAGAGATCGGCATTAATAATTGGCCGTGAAATTCTAACACTGTCGTTAGAGGCGTAGCGGATCTGCAATGGATAAAAAAGGGCTCACCGTGTGGTTTCAGGGTTGTTTCTCAACACAGTGGATATTTAACTAGGCCAATGATCAATCTACGCAAGCTGACCTACGTGGCTTTTACAGACTATTACAAGATCGTCCTCGTCTTACTTTGCCCCTCGTTACTGTAGTGGTGATTCTTTCGGCCACCTTCCAGACTTTGCCGCAGGGAAACGTTACTAGCCGGAAAGCCCTACACGGAATACAAATGTAAGAGCAAACAGGCGAGCTGATAGATAACGCAAAGTTCTCCATCGAGGACAGGAGTGAAATATAGTACCCGAGGGTCATAGACGGTGATGCCTGTTGAGTCACTGATCAACTTTTGCGGTTGCCGAAGGCCGGATACGCCATCGTTCGACTCGACTTGAAGGACTCGTATCCGGCATTAACGACAGCGACGATTCTGTTGAACAATGCTGACGTTCTACTGAGGAAGCATCGTCCGATGTACGTTCGAATAGGATCGTAATGTGGATAGGTTAGGGATAGTTACTGGCCAGGCAGATTACCCAAACTGTAATCGTTATTAGTGTGACAAGCATTGCTCAAAGCTATCCTCGTAATTAGTAATGATATGATAGCTTATGGCTGAACGATTGTTCAGAAAAGAAAGCTTACGTTCATAAGCTTTATTGTATCTTTATTGACGTGCCTTAAATCGTCACGGAACTTAAACGACCACCAGCTGTGTGGCGCGTACGGCAGAGTCTTTTTTCCTGGTTGGTTTTTCTCACGGGTCGTGCATACTACTGAGCTATGCCGTATACGGTAACATGAGCGATTCGTAAGGTCTTCGTTTCATTTCAGCTGTCATGCTCAGACAAACATAACAGCTGAAATGATACACACTTATGCTGACTGAAAAGTTGAATAAACAAAAAAACTCTGCAAAGACTGTAGATAACGCACAATCTGTGTGAATAAAGAGGAGCAATCTGTTTGTGTTGATTCGAGTTTAAGCATGCAGAAATTGGAGAACTTGAAAATATTCCGACATTTACTTGTAGGATGTTGTGCTTCAATAATCTGTGGTGTGGTTGAAATGGTAAGAGTACATTATCAACTCCGTGTCGGATTGCCAGTGTCGCTCCGCTGTTATGGCAAGCGTATCGAAAGATAACGTTGTTCAAGCTGGATGCGATAACCGAAACTCTACGTGCAAAGGTGCGTTTTCAAAACAACGTTCTGACGGCCAAAATAGAAGCGGAAGAATTGTCCGAAACTTTGCATTTTTTCTCTAGAAAACACTGGACTTTTGGCAAATAAGGCGGCTTGTATGGGATTTCATGTCGTAGAACTTTAACTGATAAGTGCAGTAAATCGTTAAACAAACGGCAACCGCAATAGAGGTACGAATTTGTATACCAGAGAAAGTTGTCGAAGTGCAAAGGTAGTTAGTTGGCGATAAATGGCCTCTAGATGGATGTCCGGATCTGGAAACCAGAACTGGTTGAGTAGGAGCTGAAAATAACTGAGCAATGATTGGAGGTGTTTTACCCTAGACTGTATATGAACCCAGCGTGAGTAGCATCGTTTGAACCAAAAACTGGAAAAGCTTATATCAAAGCAAATGATTCGGTAACTACACTAATCCTTTAAACCGTACGCGTGCTTTCTCTAACCTTTTATGCTCTATTCAGAATATAACTTATTATCTATCGATAGTATCTTTTAAGCGACACAGCGATGCGTCTCGTTCATCTTTTGTAGAGGCTGTCTTGTACAAATCGCGTCAATGGCATAAAAGAGCTATATGGTTTTTGATTAAGTTACAAAAAACGAACGTAGCTAGAACTGAACGTTACCTTTCGTTTTGTTTACTTGAAACAATGTCCAGCACACTTTCTTTAGAGAGCGTATGAATAAGAGTGTTTAAAATTTGAGTCTGTTGATCATTGCAGAAACTTTTTTGATTTATATTTTCGATCATCCTTTAGGAGATGACGATCAAGATAAAAATTGCGATGAAAAGACCGACGTATCTGTTGAGGTACTTGAGGACCGCATCGCTGTGTTGGCCTGTAAAATGGAAAAACATGCCGAGCAAGAACAAGAAGCCTGTACACTTATCATAGAAAATGGTGAGTTAATACACAAATGTTTGCTTATATATATATATATATATATATATATATATATATATATATTGTCTGGAGCTGTTTAGCGCGCGGGAAAATTTGAATATTTTTCTAACCGTGTAAGGGTTCACAAGGGTAATTCGGGTTAAGTTACTCCCTTTATTTTTCATACATTGAACTCAGTGCTCTGGAGAATTTGAGCTGCAATACCACGTTGAATCTGGCTACCGATAATGTGTTTGACGGTAAGATACGCGTTATGATTTATCGCCCTGTTTAAATCAGAAGGTAGTCAAAACCGTAGGCGTAAGCGTAAGCGCAAAGCGTAGACGAGATTCAGTGTTCCTTGATTAAGCCTGTTGAACTGCGATGATAAGGTCGTATGTTGTTGTCGAATAATCCCACCGAGAACCATCGAATGCCGTATAACACATCCATGAGACTCTTTATAATTCAGAATATCTAGCAACATTGATCGTGTTTTTTTCCTTAAATATTTAGTAATGACAAATGTTGCTTAGATTGGTTGCGAATGCGAACATCAGTGAAGTCCGATATATGCGGGAATACTATCAAACTCTTCCCAGTTTCTGTTTAGAGTTATCTTCAGCGTCTTCACTATAGTTCGTTCGAGGCCCAGAGATCATTTTTTTCTGCCGTATTTTACCTTCCAATTTCTGTATTTGTATCGGTAATAGACCACAGCTGAACTAATGGTCTCTTTGCTTAATATTTTCGTCAGCTCTCGACGTGCCCGACCAGCAGTCCCACCCTCGCAAAATATAAACTAGGTAGTCATTAAGCCTTGATTTTTAGCACTAAAATATATCTTCGCTTCTAAATTCATTTTTATCTAATAACATACAATCAGCTTATAGTCGTCAATAGGCCTGATAGAGATGAATTTTGTCTGTATGGTTCAGGGGCATTTGAAGTTTTTTGACCGGCTAATTAGCTTTGGGCAGCCTAATACGCATGAAGTGACGTCCTGCTAGACAAACCGTTGTACGGACACCTTATTTAACTAAACTACGGCTACCCTTACCTGCTTTACGGCAACAAAACTTATCCAGCGGCATTAGTAACTCTCGAATTGTTAACGAAAGCTTTCATTCATAAGTTATTGGTCATACTGTCAAGTAGCCACTACACGTTATCGGGGTCAGCTTGACCCACATCGTCTACTCCTCCATTATTACCTATACACTGCTCGACTCTACTGATCAATACAAAAGTGACGACATCCATTCCGACATAATTTACTTATTTCGAACATAGAATCCCTTTAGCTTTTTTGCCCGAAATCAACTGGTACAGCCCCAATATATGTCTACAGTCTTTTATTATAGAAGATTATTATTATATTATATTATAGATCGAATCAATAGGATTAGCCGGGCTCATCTGATTCTAACGCAAATAACGCAAGAATCTAACTGATTTTGACGTCAAAAGTTCCAATAATAATATTTGAGGATAACTTTGAAATGACGGGGGCAGGCTTCGTTTTATAAGCGAGGCTATTCAGTTAACCGTTAGATGACTATAAATATATCTTATCTATTGGCAATAGCTATCTATCTATGAGCAAATATGTATCATGGACTGGAATAAGAAGATACATTAAGTATATGCTTAATATCGCACTTGATACCTAATACTGAACACGCTACATATCAAAGGTTTCGATATCCAGTAGGTTCCGGGATTTAGCCGTGAGCACAGTCCCCTCGATAAAATCAAGCTTCTGTTATAATGCGACAATACTCTTTCAATCACTTTCTTTTTACTGGCTAAGATACTTGATCGCTACCCATAAAGAAATGCTTCAAGTTCTACGTCCGGCGTTGCTCTTAGATTTATACGGCTGGCCTCACCATCAAACGATGTGTGCCTTCGAGATCACCCCAGGTACCCCTAAGTCCAGTGCGCCATCTGTAAACTTACCTGGATTAATTTAATCATAATTTAATAATCTCATCATGTTTCTTTTAGCCAAGTTGTTATCGAAGTTACAGCAATATCGATCCGTTCGAGCGACAAACGAGCGCTTAGAGTTAGCTGGGCTAATCAGGAGGTCTCGTGAACTCGAGAAGGTAATTTCGTCTGAGCAGGAAAAGAATGAGCAGCTTGAAAAGGAAATTGAATATGAAAAGAACCTGTTGCGGGTATGTACTTCCAAAGAGACCAGTGCAGCTATTATGATCATTAGCAGTAAACGGTAACGCGTTCAAAAAATTGATTGTTTTGGATAAAAAAACAGCCAGATAACGTATTAAGTATATTGCTTATAAAATAGGCACTGAGACATATATGAATCTTTTCCTTTGCTTATTGATACTGATTGTGGCTGATTCGTAAAGATCGTTATAGATTTATTTAATTAAATAGTTAGCGAAAAACCAGATCGTAACGAATACACTCCCATATAAATAAAAATAGAATAAATATAGATAAAAAAAATTCATAACGTATGCGCGTATAAGCATATTCAAGTGTACATTAAATAATTACTGATAACGAACCTGCTTGCTAGCGATCATCTGCTATGGCAAAGGTTGAGCTTGAGGAAAAGATCCATAAATTTGAAGTGAGCAAAAAGCAGATTGTTGCTGAGATCGAGATGCAGAAAGACGCCTACAAGGTAAGAGATTACAGACAAAAATATTGGCCTCAATCGCTTCTCTTGTCCTAGAATTCTATTTGAATATAATTTTTTAAGAAATTACAGCCTCGTTACTTAGCTTTTTCTTATGTTTAATGCTTATATATATATATGCGTATAATCCCCTGCCTTTTTCTTGAATTTAAAAAAAAATGAAAAAGGCAGGCAAAGAAAGAGACACATACTCACACATACGCACA